GTATTCTATGGTTATCAGACCCATTTGATAATAACTTCTCAGTTTTATGGACATTAGAAGGTCTCGGGCAAGTTATACCTACAACGCATTCATTCGCAATTGCGCTAGAGTACATGATCCAAGAAAACCTCAGAAAATTTTAGACTTCGGCAAATGGGCGCGGAGACGATCCGAAGTCCTCCAGGGTGCTAAGTGATGCAAGGAAACCACAACCGGTATGCTGCCAAATGGTAAGCAATGGTCTAAACCTCTGCCCCTTCGGTATCCATCACACCATGAGCTCTGTTTTATGTTGGAAGAATTACTTATAACGACTAGTAATGAATAAATCTGAACGGATCTGATATTCTGTGTAATTAATCTCATTAATACCAGTAAGTACGACTGTACCGAAGAGGTACACATGTCTACCAAGTGGAAATTCGCGTAGTGTTTGAGGGCACCTACAATAAGGTCCACTCTTTCAGAAGTAAGTCTTTTTGAAACCACCTGTAACGATTGCAACTAAATTGGATGTAGATACGTGAACTTTTGCGAAGTATATGTCGATGTAGAGTAGAATTATTTTCATACAGTTTTGATAGAGAACGGGTCATTTTAATTAGTAATGTACAACACCACATGTATACGAATCGCATAGATTAAGTGCCCGACAGTCGCTCCATCTAAGATTACATAAATATATTCATACGTTACAGAATTTCGAAAAAAGAAAATGATTGTTGTATTTCCTTGATTCACAAAAATACATTTTCCGTTAGAACGGATTTGTTATATACGAATCCATCACACAATTCTACGTATCGCTGCTAAATACATAATTGATGAATGGTGCAAGAAAAGGAATAATATATGACCACATATTATAAAGATTCAACCGCATGGATCAAGATATGTCAAAACGACAGAAGATGGATGAATTTATACGCTCCGTAAATTTAATTTTTCAGTTCGTTTAAGATAACTACTGATTAATGGTCTGCCATCTAAAAAAACATCCTGAAGACATTTCTCTAGGAAGTATGTGCACAATAATTCAGATAAATTCCCAGGTAAAAAGCTCAAATTTGAAGGGTAAAAACTAAAAATTTACTTTCACCTTCAGCTTAGCAACGTCATAACTGCATCAATAAAAGGATACCTATTTGCAAAATAATGACAATGTTCGGTCTATTTCATGCTTTTGGTCTTTTCTAAATGACGTTACATTAATGATTAAACATTGCTACGGAGCTGCTGTCCGTGACGACCCGAATTTGCTCCAGAGAGTCATAACTGCTGACGAATCATGGGTTTATGGTTATGACGAGGAAACCAAAGCTCAATCATCCCAATGGAAGGTGACGCACGCGCCAAGACCAAAAAAAACGCACCAAGTTTGGTCGAATGTGTTTTTGTCTTGCAGTTTTCTTCGATTTCAGGGGCGTGGTACATCATGAGTTCTTGCCGCAGGGTAGAACGGTCAATAAGGAATATTACCTGCAAGTCATGTCCAGTTTGCGCGAAGAAATGCGCCAGAAACGCCTGCATTTGTGGAAGAACAAAAATTGGCTTTTGCTCACACATCGTTGCTTGTGCGCGAATTTTTGGCCAAAACAACACACAAATAATGCCTCAGCCACCGTATTTCCCAGATCTGGCCCCCGGTGACTTTTTCTTATTCCCGAAACTGAAGAGGCTCATGAAAGGACAACGATACGCTGCGATTGAGGAGATAAAGACGGCATCGAAGGAGGAGCTGAACAAGATTACAAAAAATAATTTTTTGAAGTACTTCAAGGATTGGAAAAAACGTTGGCACAAGTATATAATATCTGGTGGGGATTACCTTCAAGGGGATAAAATAGATATTCATGAATTAATCATCATTATAAGGTCGTCAGTCCTAAGACTGGTTGGACACGCACCTCCATTCTTTCCTATCCTGAGCTAATCTTCGCATTTCCCTAAAACTAGAACAACCCACATCCTTAACTATTTGCTAACAGTAATCTAATCTAGGTCTACCTCTACCCCTCCTAACTCCTATTTCTGCCTCCAATATGTCTCTGACTAGACCTTCATGCCTGAGAAGGTGTCCTACCAACCTATCTCGCCTATTTTTTATTGACTTCCATAGAGTCCTCTGATCTCCTATCCTTTCCAATACCTTTTCATTTCTAACCTTTTCTACCCACTGTCCATATTTCGCACCCGTACAACGCCGTGCTCCAAACATACACCTTTAACAAACTTTTTCTAATTTCTAAATTAAACGTTCGCGATCGTAGTAGTGACCATGAATAAATAAATAAATAATTTTTGAATAAACACAAAATTCACTATACTTTTTGAACAAACGTACAGTACCGTCCACCAGTTTTGAAATGTATCATGTATTTCATAAGTAAACAGCTGCCCCACGTCGAATATTATATACTAGTATCTATGTATGCACCTTAGATAAGTAAACATTAGGAAGGGAGTCAGACACACGGTTCAACACTGACACCTCTACCTTTTATATGGGCAAAAGATTAGTGTGTTTAGATTTGCAGATGATATAGCAATATTAGCATCTAGTAAAGAGGAGTTAGAGATAGCAATGGGACGAAGTATATACTGACAAGACGTTGAAAAGAACATCAAGTGGACAATTTTAAACGCTCAAATTCTTCGTCCGAATTTAATTTGATTTCGGACGATATGAGGTCAGGGAATGCTTATTTCTGTTTGGTAGGTAGGTATTTCATCAATGTGTTTCGGCTTTCCAATATCCACTGGAGCAATCGGCTGTGGCTGCGAGATGTGAACGAATCTCAGTTCAGTATGGTGCGGAACACCACTCTATTCCATTTCGTGAAACAAAACCTATCTCAATTTAATTTGATTTCTAAGGGTCACAAAGCCCATAGCGATTGTTCCGATTGGAGCGCGCTAGGTCGAAAATTCTTTATTCAATATTTAGGTACCGTCACGATCACGGAGAAATATTAAATGTCGTCTGAGACCTTTCATCACGCGTGAAAACCCGAAAATGAAAACAAAAGACTCCAGACAACATTTTCATCATCACAATTTATTGTATCTCTAAATTTCAGTAACGTTGTAAATATCTTTAGGTGTATGTTTGGAGCACGGCGTTGTACGGGTGTGAAACATAGACAGTGGGAGCGGCGGAAAAGAAAAGATTAGAAGCGTTCGAAATGTGGTGTTATAGGCGGATGATGAGGATATCGTGGGTAGAAAAGGTTAGAAATGAAGAGGTATTGGAAAGAATAGGAGAACAGAGGACTCTATGGAAGTCA